TGAAAAGTGCAAGTGAAATAAATCAGCTAGCGAGGGAATGGCTATCTCAGGTTACCTGTGATTAATTGGCTGTGGATAACTAATGCGGATGAGACACAGACATATGCTGTATGATAACCTATAGTTTCGTTTCCTAAACACAACAATTTTTCTTCGTAGCGCTGGACAAAAACATCCATCTGAAACCTAGAGGAAACAGATGGACTAGTTCTAACTGCAATTCTCTGGTACAGTTTGTCCGACAAAGCCACGAATATCCGGGTAGTTTTGTGCCAATACACAAAACGCCTGTCAACGCCATGATCCTTACTGATAACTTCCGGTTCTATGTGAGCATTGTCTAGGACAAAGATTATTTCCTATGAGCAGTATTTATCATGGGAAAAGATGGTTATTCCTTCTTTTCACGATATGATCCAAAAAACCAACACCGAATACAGGCCAACTTATTTATTACGTCATTCTGGTCGTTGATGACTTGTGGTCATCGATGGTCAGTGAAATCCTCGGAATAGTTGTTCTTCGGTACCATTCACTTGCCGCCAAAGCGGACTACTTCGTCTTGTGTGTGTGCTTTTATAGAATCTTAGAGGGATGCTAACATGATGCACGCCTTGACGTCATCACATCCCCAACTTTGACAGTCATCATTCAAACTACACACCAGAATGCGAGTAAAAGTGGACTCAGAAATGCACAGTATCGATATTCAACCCAGCTTTCCGTGACGAGGTGATGTATGCGGAAAAAGTCTTGTGGGTTTATTTACCCTTCATTATCTTCTCAAGCCAGACGGGACCGCGATATCCGAAATATGTAACTAAGTTTATCGAAATTATGAACACGCCATACAGACAACTAATGCAAACGTCGAGATGAATACGGATCGAGCGTGTCACATGCGCTGGCTTTGACAGCAGCTTGACAGACCATGGGCAAAGTCGACAACAATGGCTCTGAGAAAAAACTGTTTACAAGTTAGGCAGTTCTCTGCAGATAAGCTACTTATTTAGCACTCTTTAGGTTGAATTCCTTGAGATAAATAATCACAAAAGGTCCCGCAGTATTGGTTATCGAGACGTGCAGATCCGCGAGCTTCACAGTGTCGATTCAGACATCCCGCAGCTCTCGTTGAGGCTAGTAGCCATAGTCCTACAAAAGCATCGCAGGAGGATAAGAAGCTGAAGCCCCAAGTAAAGAGTAAACAGCCTTCCGATTGGTGCACTTGCTCAGATACGTGCAAAAGGATCAGCAAAGATCAGCAAAAGCACAGGACTCCCACATCTTCCATGAATTACTATTTGTGGAAATCCGCACATCAGCAACACTGACCACCCTGAGGTTGATAGTCAACAATGACCGCCGTGATGTGGGGTTCAAGCTGAATGTGTTCATGGAACAGTTCTCGGTGACCGACTAATCACATCGTCCAATCTTAATGCAGATGTGTAGCTACTCAGCCCACAGGTGACCTGTCCCATCCAAGTGATGACATGCGTAACCCTGGTGGATGGAATTCATCTGAACATACTGTGCATGTCATCAAAAAAGACTACTGATTTTTTATGAACCTTCCGTGATAGAATTCAGATAAAATACTCCTCTATGGGGCGTCTTCTCGAGGAAAGATGCATTCCGACAAGAAATGAAGGTGTTAATCGATCACCCCATTGTACTGTTCTATCCGAGAGTAAGCAAAGATCACGCAACTCCACATGGTAGGAAAGTTCATGGTTCCACTGAAAAGCACTTTACACTCGCATGCGACACCTAAAGAGAGTACAATTATGTTTAAGTCGTTTCAGAATAAATTGGTCGTAAGCTGCATCATTCATAGTTGTGGATAGAATTGGACTAACGAGCGCGGGATAGCTCATAGGTTATAACTCGTGAATTTAGCCCAGCCATCACGCCTTGGTTGCTTGGGCAACGTGGCAGCACGTTGACCCTCATAATTGCATGACAACTATGCACTGAAAAATGCCAAACTCATTGTTTACCACAGCTACATTAGTGGAATTGAGTCATAAATCGTAGTGATGAATATGAGCTCAAGCGACGGACTTGGCGTCAACCGGTACTAGCAAAGCTACCGACAATATATATTAAACCAACCCGTGCGATAATGGCCTGGTGTTGCGTAATAGTGAATCGATGTACAGCTCCCTCATAACCTCAAAAGTTCCTGTAAACCTCAAGTTGGACTGAAAGAGCCAAAAGGCGCGGCGGTGCATCGTCGAAAGTCTGCCGTCTGTCAGTTGAGTTCCATGGGACAGAAATTAACATATCACCCACAGTACGGTACATTTCAAGAGAAATGTATCCACCAAAAAGTTTTCCATGTTCGAACAGTGCCTTTGTAACACGTGAGTTTAGCACTTCATTCACGACAGGTGGAGCGTCAAGGGCTTTCGAATTTTAGTTGTCCGGTGCACCACGTGTCCGACAAAGGAATCAGGATCTATCGATTCTTTCGAACCGCTAATCGCGCAGGTTCCACCTGACCTTCGTGTGGGTTTCAGAAACGCCAACTCTTTTCCAACGTCAACTCTTTTCCTTCTACGCTACCAAAGCCCAATGTACTGAGCAGCGTAGATGGATAGTCAAGTTGACACAACCACCGTTCCCGAATCTCGCAGCAAAGGGAAACCGTCAGCAACATAAGATTATGGTATCTTACTCTTAGCTGACTGCCCAAGTATATTTAATGAATCTTGTGATGACGAGATTAAAAGGACCGACAAATGCATGTATGAAATTTGTGATCTTGGTACTGTTTAGTTTCGTCCCTAAGTGGGGTTTATTAAACGCAATACAACACTCACAAGGTTGCTGAAAATTCTTCGACAACTCACGACCGGTTTCGCCCTTCTTGGGGCTCATCAGGTAGGAGCAGTGTCCGAGTATATGTCAACCTTAGGTTCTACTTGAATCCGAATTGCACGGAATTAACGAACTACGTTCCTTTGCAAACCAATTTGGTTTTGACGATAGATTCACCTGGAAGCCAGTTGAATCCTTCGCTTATGGTATTTTTAAGCTATTTGGGTTCAAGTAGAACATAGGATTGACGGAAACTCGGAGACTGCGCTTACATATCACGTTTCGCGGTATCTCGAATATCGTAACAACTGAAACACGAGGCGACCCGGTAGAGCACATCCAGTTGTTTAAAAACATCATAAGCGAGATATTCGGCTGGGTTCCGGGTGAGTCTCCCGTCAAAACCAAATTAGCATGCAAAAGTGTATTTGTCTGGGTTGTTAAATTCGTCTCTCACCTAACAATTAAGCAACGTATACTGTAAAGGCAACATTGTAATAGTTCGTCGTTAATGCGTGGCCATTATGGATGGAGCTGACCTAAACATGATAATTGACCGATCTTCCCAATCGCCATGGAAACAGGACACCAGTTTTGCGCCATCCATATTTTTTCGCTCCTTATCAAAAAGCCTACATGTACCCAAGTTACTCCCACTTGGACCGTCCTTCTCTCCTGGCACAGTTAGTCCACATCAACGAGGGGAGTACTGAACTTGGGTTTCGCTCTTATTAATGCTCATCGGTGGGGAATATCCTCAACCGAACCGGGATCGGAACCCAGGATATCAGGAGAAGAGGCGAGCCAGGAGAGTAGGACTATTCGGGTGTTATGAAGGCGAATTCTCCGAACCATGCAATCAGAAATGACTAACATTATATGCTATTGACGCTGACGATCCAAATGCTTCCTACAACGGCTGGATACGGTGGTCTCCTCAAGGTTGTCACTACGAAAAGTATCCAACCCCCCACTCTAGGTGGCTTCTCTAGAGTCCAGGTGAGCATTGAAACTACTGTTTCACTATAATATTTAGGCTTTACCCCGGTATGCTTAGGGTAAACCAACTTGCTGGAGTACTTGGCTGATGAACACGTGGGTTAGGCGGTTTTAAGAACAGTTTTACTGGGCAGGTGAAAGCCGTTTGCCTTAAACCGTGCTGGTAAAATTCAGGTGAATTAACTCCACATCATATGCTAGACTGAGTAAATCTGGTCGTTATATTCCGTCAAAATCATTCACCAATCGAAGTTTGCAAACTGACCGGTCGGTGCGGACCATTGGGGCGAAATGCCAGATTTTGGAATACATTGGAGTCTAATTGTAAAACTGTCACCACGGCTACGTCAGTAGACGGCGTTTGGTATAAAATGAGTAGCACGTCGAGTTCACCACATAAGTCTCCAGTTCGAAAGTGGGATATAAGTTCGCTGTTAGATTAGGGTGAGACAAAGTGGAATCGAATTCCTGAGGGAGCATTTGTCAGGTGGTTGTTCCGAAAGTCAGTGCATTACTTTGATTCTAACTTTCTTAAAGGGTTGGTTACTCCATACTGAGGAAGGACAAAGGACTTGTTACCTTAATGTTTCACCAACAGCTCAAGCGGGACGACCCCAGACTGATAAACGTACAAACGCTTCGCATCTAAGTAATGCAACTAACGCTACGGCTGTTCTAGTCAACATCTCACCATTCAGAATATTAGAGCAAGGTAGCACCACAGGCGTCTTTTGGGTGCTTGCGCAGATGACCTTACCTCCGACCCAAACCCTGGATGTCGCGCTTCGTGCGAAATTGGAGTCTACCTGTGCTCCTTCGGTGTAGAAGCCACGCCAACAGCCATCTAACTCTGAGTAATCGAATATCATCAGGGTGTTTAAAAATGCTGGCACTCTGGCCACTTTAACGAGTAAACAGGGATTAGCACCAACGTCAAGTATAATTGCATAAAAGATGGCCAACATCAAAGTGACGTAACCTATCCGGCTGTCGTCGCGGTCCTTGACCCTATAATCAGACTCGATTAAGCAAGTCAGCACAAATTTGGGTGGAAAACAGTTTGTCACATGACCAGAGCGCGCATCTTGATCTGACACGCTAGCTACGCGGGACACAGTTCACCTATAACCGGTGATCTATAATACGGTGACCAAGTCTCGTCTCAGAAACAGAATTATTTCAGAAGCATACGACTTTATTCGTAGTAATAGTAGCGTTTATCACTTGGTTGGTTGTGTAATGGAGCAGAAATGAAACAACACAACAACAAAACCAGCGTCAGAAATTGAGAAAAGCAACGATTGTACGCAAGAGTGACGGAGATAATCAGCACTAACACGAGGAGGTAGGCCACAGACCATCTACAAACCTGCCACCACGTTGATAATATACATACGAACTTGCACACGTGTCAAAGTCAGGGTTTGGTTGCGCGTGGCAGCAAGAGACCAGAGCACAAAACCGAATGGGACGGAAACAGAGCCATTTGGAACTGAGACAGAATCTGTGCATAGCCAAAAAACCTAGGTATGGGATTGCAAACAGTGGACAACTCATACGCCGGTGGATAAGTGGGGGTCAACAAACGCCGCAGCACGGGTAGGCAGGAGATCAATAATGGTAGTAGTGGGATGCGGTAAACTACTGAGTGGACCAGAAAGGCGATCACATATGGAAGATCACAGACCTCAATACATCTGGTTACCATTGCTCAAAGGAGCTCATACAGTTTTGCAAGAGATACCTTGAATTATGCAGTGAATGTGTGTAGCGGGGAGAATCCGGTTCAGATGAGTGGAAACATAGGACGTAGGGTGCGATGCGCGTAGCTGGCAACTGCTTTAGTACAAGTCCTCGTTACGCGGTGGCACGAAGAACGATTAGTTTCCGGTAGAACTCTGGAGTTAATTTCATAAATGCTTTGGGGGTGACGGCTGGTTTGAAAAAAAGACGACCAGGCTGATTAGTTCGGGAACAACGTGCGAGGTGGACTGGGGGTGAGCCTTATTTGGTTTGCAGTTTCTCTCAAGAATAGTAATAGAAAACAAGGAAAAAAGGAGTTCATGTGTATAGAGAGGTAGACGTCGATCTGAAGGTGGGTGCACGATGGCCAGTGCCCCCCGTCAAAAAAACGCAGTGCGCTGCAGAAAATGAAAATTGATAACCCCAAGCATTCTCGCCGAAACATGTACCACCACCCCTATATTGAATTGGCAACAACAGGAATTGGCATACAAGTAACGAAAGAACATGGAACAAGAAAAAGGAAAACAGACAAACAAAAGAGAAAAAAGCTAAATAAATACAACAGTTGAACAAAAGAGCAAGACATGGGGAGTGGACCGCAGTGTCCTCCTGGGGTTTGAAATGGAGGAGACCGTGATATGCAGACGTACGAATTGGTACAAATTCGTCTGGATACGAACGGCTGGAAATATTTACAAGGTCTACAGGTAGGGTCAAACTTCACCGACATCAAGGATGAGTTTCCCAGGTAGTTCAGGTGGTGAAGAGCAATCCCAGTTTTGGTTCTCACACTGGTTTGATTGGTCTATGTCGTTACGACAAACACTAGCGGTCCCGTCGAGTTCGGTCGATGGTTTGAGCTGAACCAATTGAAGTTTGCTTGGTTTGCGCCTACTCGAACCGCTCAAACCGACCCGGGGCAAGTTATTTGGAGTCGAAAATTTAACGCTTGTACCATTCAACGTAACGGTGACATCTGTTCTGTCGCAAGAGGATAGGGCAGCGCCGTTCGAGAATCTCTGCATTTCTCCTTCCAGACGGGGCACTTTTGCTGGTTTTTCACCAACAAACCCGGCGGGAGATGGGAACACACTTTGCAAGTAATCTTCCGAAGCATTCTTGTCCGCCACATCTGTAGGCATGCTCAACCCATCCTCGTCCATTTCGTTTTCGAACAAAGTAGCATCCTCTGCATCCTCATCAGTCAGCCGATTGAGGCCTTGTGTCCGCAAACCTTGTTGAAGTTCTGCCACACGCTCGGTCGGCTCGGATGTAATGTCTTTTATTGGAACCTGAAGAGGACGAAATGCAGCGAGAATCAAGAAGTGAACTGTTCATAAGAGTTCTTAGTCTGAAAGGTCAGATGCTCGTTGGAAAATTTTGTCTACAGCAGCGTCCAGGGGATCGTGTTCCGCATAAAAGCTTTTCTGGTCAGCTAGACTGAGTAGGAAAGATATGAAACGGTTAGGTTATTACCTAAAGAAAGTCGGGAAAGACGTAACTGGTAGTCTGGCGACCTACTCGCCCTGAAATGGGATAAAGACGGTTAAAAACAGTCATGGGCTTTGGTCAGTAATGCACTAAAACTGTCACTTGGTCATGGCGGTCGGACTTCGGTTGTGCAGTCATCCCACGGGCCAAGTAGGCAGCATTCTCATACTTCAACGAAGAACGGACGGGATCGAGAACGTAGACCCTAAAAGATGGACACTATGACGACTCATTGGTTGGTCGTGTGAACAATACGGTCCGAAAACAGATAAACCTCAACACAAAACGTAGACCCTAAAAGATGGATACTATGACAACTCATTGGTTGGTCGTGTGAACGGTCCGAAAACAGATAAACCTCAACACAAACCCTATTTGACTCCAAACGCAATTGCTGTGCATAACAGCACCAGAAGCCATGCGCTTATGGCATACTCCCTCGAGTCAGGCTAGGCCCCACAGCCAGATGGGTCAGAAGGTTGCCACGGGATCGGGAAGTGGCCCTCCAAGGACAGATCCAACACCCGTTGATTCGCGGTCCGGACTCTCTCACGGGATCGGGAAGTGGCCCTCTAAGGACAGAGCCAAGAACACCCGTTGATTCGCGGTCCGGACTCTCAAGTCAGGGATTAGGAGAAGGCTCACTGAACAAAACTCCACATCTTTTTACTACTTTGCGGATCAAACTTTTGAGCCAAAGGCTCAAGGTTGAGTACCTGAATCAAACGCCTCTTTCAAAGAGGGTAAACGAAAAGTATCCTTCGCCCTTAAAGCCCTTCATTCAATGGACTTCATCTAAACACCTCATCTAATCCCCATATATAAACTTCTACCCAGAAAAAGAAAAATAAACCAATAATAAATTCCAAAGATCTACCCCAACTTGTGGCTTTCAATACCATGTCATTTGAGCAACAGCACTACCCTACTCAGACTGCTTTTGCTTCCAATTTATGTACATTGTCTCCGAAATACGCATGGAAAGCCGCAGTTCAGTTAGACCACAAATCTCTCACGACGAACTCAAATTTAATCCGGTTCAGTCTTTGGATGTCTAACGATCATGATACGGCGGTTCACGATGCCTGCGGTGTGAGACTGTATAGAATCCCAGAGATGAGAGCGGATTGTGGTTTCACCTCGACGCGGCGAACGGTGGTTATTTGTTGTATTAGTATATTCATTGACAGACAGAAGCTGATAATTTCTATATAGATTAGTCACGGCTGATTTGGTCGGCAAAAAGCACCGATGCTGTGATTTGAGCGGTTGACATAAATATCCAGGTCGATAGCATAATTCACGCGGTAGATTTGAGGCTATTTCCAGCCGGTGTGAACTTCCAGCACAAGCGCTCACGTGTTATCTGGAGGCAATCGACTACAAACCAGGCATGTGGCAATCAGCTAACGGCGGAGAGCTCCAGTGGAACGTAGTCGTTCTGTCTAGACAAGCACTTCGACCCTGACGATGGCATTGTGACGGTGGACTTCCACCGAAGTGTACGCCGTAGGACGCAAGGCGATCCTTAGCCTCCACGGCCACAACGCTGAGCTAAGTTGACCCAAAAGCGCCAAGAAATAAACCAGTCCAGTGATAATAATGATGATTTGCAGAATGTGGGAAAATGGTGTGTACTGTCAACAGCTTTTGAAGTTATCAGCAAAGGATTGCCCGCACGTATCAATCGAAACCGGATATCGAAACGATCAGAAGTTTTTATAGGCGCCAGGGAAACTATACAAACAGCAAATACTGGTTCGCCTGCACGTAGGCGCCAGGGAAACTATACAAACAGCAAATACTGGTTAAGCCAGAGAACTGTTTATTTGGACAAGCTCTTTTTGACCAACTATACGTCGGGTTGAGACGACTCAGGAGCGGTTGGTCAATGATGTGGCAACGGAGCGTGAAAGCCTTTGCCAATCCACTCAGCAGCATTAGCAACTGTCGCCTCACCTTAGGAAGACTGGGGAACTGGGAACTCATGACTCTGATAAACGTGGCACCGTAACCCAACCAATGGTCGCCCTGCATCAGAGCTAGTATCTTCCAGGGATAGCTGTCTAACACTTGTATCAGACAGCTGAAACGCGTTAACCTCAATGAATTTACAGGGTCATCTTCTCTAAAGTAAGGCTTTCATTTCGATTATTTTCCTAATCCTCCATGAAGAAACTGAGCTAATGAGAACTGTTGTGCTTTGGTACGCGGGGTATACCGAGGTAACTGACCGACTTACTGATCTACTCACATCATTACTACTATATTATATGTCTAGGCCTAATCAAATTTGAACCCAAATTCCGCTCACTGAAGCTCCAAGCTATCAACTTTAGTTTGTGATTCTTCTCTCCCAATCACCAGTCACCGAGGATGAAAAGTACCAACAAGTACAATTGTAACTTGAGGCACTAATAATCTGAAGGTTGTGGACAGTTGGCAATATCGATTATTCTACCCGCGTTGTCATGGTTTGTATTCCACCGTCTTTAGTCAACGCTGGCGATTGTACATCGAGGGCTTGGGAATACAGAGACCGTTTGTGCTGAATTCTTCAGTCTTAATAAAAAAAGCACCACCACTGTGTACAGATCCGCATAACATGGACGACACTGACGTATCTACAATGGATGCTCCAGTTACGCTCGACCGGCGTGCAAGCTTGGCTGCTGGCATTCATCGTCAGACGACAAGTACAAGCGCTCCGGAAGTTGACTGCACGACACTTTCAAGCAAAACTATGAGCACACTCACAGCTGACTGACTATGCGCTAGGAATCGATTCGCCACAAAATCGGGCCAGTTAGGTATACACTAAAACTGACTAACTTCACACAGAATCATGGTGCAACTGACCACCAGAAAAACAAATTGCAATTAGAGTATGAATGAACTTCAAAAGGAGATACCCAAAACAATGCTATCATGGAATCCTGATCGGCTGGTCGATGTTGGAATTCCGCAAAGAGGATCATGACGTGATTCTAAATACACGCACACGCACACATACCGCATCGATCTTGTTACCCCGAGCGAGCACACATTCCAAATAGGATCAAGAAGATTGAATGGGGTAAGCTTAAAAAAGGCTTCCACATAAACAAACGCAGCAATCAATAGGAACGTAGAAGCGTCACTCACCTCTAACACTGCTCTGCTGTAGGTGCGTAGCTGCTCCCCTGTTACATAATCTAGCTCCGCGTGTGTTAGCTCATGGTGCTTGAGGGCTTCTTTACCAGTTTTAAATGCTTGATGACAATAGACGCAGGTATGAGCCGGTAATCGCATATGCCGACGAACCACATGAGCCCGAGCCGCACCGACGTACGTTGAGAAGAACAGACATACGGAGCATGCATACACCAGACTTCCGTGACCGGCGATTGACTGATCCTTGTCGACATTCATGCGAACAATATAGAACTGACCCGAATCCAATTTGTCCTCAGAGCCAGAGTGGTTGAATTCCACGTCTATCGGTGGAACGTTCGAATCGTATGTTGCAGGATAATCGGGCGATTTGGATGGACTAGCTGAAGAACCTCGTTCAACATTGTTCGCTTTCGCACTGCTGGCTGTCGTTGACAAAGCAGTCAGTTTTTCCGAATCCCTATGCTGTATAGAGGGTTGGTAGACCTGAGAAGCAAACTGCCCACCAGAGGGTCGCACAAGTCCCATTGCAGTGCAGGATAACGGGCGATTTGGATGGACTAGCTGAAGAACCTCGTTCAACATTGTTCGCTTTCGCACTGCTGGCTGTCGTTGACAAAGCAGTCAGTTTTTCCGAATCCCTATGCTGTATAGAGGGTTGGTAGACCTGAGAAGCAAACTGCCCACCAGAGGGTCGCACAAGTCCCATTGCAGAGGCTCGTCGCGTTCCAAACTGGGAGAGATCCAAATCTGCCAATGGTTTGATCACGGTTCCTTTCCATTTCATTTTGGCCAAATGTAGCAGCACGTGATTTGGCAGCAGAGTATTGTCTTCTCGGCTCAAGCGGCTGCAGTGCATCGCAGCTGCTTTGTATCGTTCCGGCACCTTGGCATGTACGCCTAAAATGTGTTTACGTATGTCACCCATTCCGTGGGGTGAAGAAGAGGCACAGCCGGAACAACAAAAATAACGTCTGCCGCGACGCCGAGTGATAAACACTTTGTGTGCACTGTAAACGTCCATCTTTTCCTGTTCAAAGAGAGAAAATATTTTCTATTAGTAAAACCTGAGGTATGTAAGATTGTTAGGGTAGCTGCAGTGAATCTGAAACACGCTGTCGAAAGTCGAGTGATACAATCAGCCAGTCCCTGAGAAACGGCGCGGTAGTCCGCTACCTGTTACCCCTCTGATACTTCTTGTTAAGCTAAGCGGCATTTTGTATTCAGTGGGAAATGAAATCCTCCATGGCTCCACACCTTTGACGGACAGACGTCGAGGAGACAGGCAACTGGAGCCGGGTAGTGAGTGAAAGAAAACCGCACGACTGCATCCTGATCCCAGAAGACCTGGGAGAAGCCGCTCCATGATCAGCTCAAAATCAGGCATGGTATGACCCCCCACGAAGAGTCAAACACCACCTTTCCCCATGGTGTTCCCTCCTTGCAACATGACAACCAAGAAAAACCGAGTCGTATTTCGGTGGTAGAAATCTATTGCACTGCTCTGTCCGTCCTGAAGCAGCATCACAGAGGGCAAAAAGTTCTCGGATTTGATCTGATGCTAAGTTCGAAGGGCTAGATGTCGGGCGTAAATTCACCGGCATCTAAGCGGACATCCTCCTATTTGGCCATACATATTACTGAAAAATAGGTCATAGTACTATAAAACGAATGCATATTGTGTTCAAGTCCGAATGCAGAAGGCTACGGTTCCGGGGTGAGGCGATAACATGAACTCGAAGTTCACTTCAGCAAGCGGACTGTCCACAGGCTATGAGCAGAAGTGGGTAAGGTAATCTGTATACGATTGATTGGGTTTGAGTGCATTGTTACGCTTAATCCCGCTTTCTTGATAGCAGACACTGGCCCTAGTGAGACATCGAAACATCGCGAAGTTTTTCCCCAAGTGCGTACAGATATGATGCTGTCTGGGCGGGAGTTTGGACAGGCAAAATTTCGCGTAAATGACCTTTGATATTTTGATATATTCATTGGGCTAAATAAGAAGGATTACGCATTCCACATTTCTGATCCGATAAGCCATAATATAATATCGCGCAACGCACTTTTACTAAAGCTAAAAACGGAATCAGAATGAATGTACTCAACAGAAACTGGGGCAGTGAGAGACGTTATGGCTTACGAAATTCCGGGTGGCGAGATGGACAAAACTTAGGGCGTCCCAAAAAACACCATATCTGTTGGGGTCTACTTAAACAAAGGGTGTATATAACCACATATATACCACCTGCATCTCAATCGTAATACAGCTGGGATTGGCTTCAATATCCGCACACGTGAGGGAATCGGAGCGCGACAACATTACACCCAAGTAAGCTGACCATACCCATGTGCGCAGAAGGAGACATGAAACCGCAACTGTTACCCTCACATGACGTATCTGCCATATAAACGCCAATCAAGGTAACCAAACAGGCGAAATCAGCCGAGACTATGAGGTAACCGATGTACCACGAAACGAATGACAATGAAACGGACGGGTAATTCTTTGAACGTAACCGGTAAAAAACCATGAATATTCATCAACACCAATGGGTTGTCAGCTGAGCCACTCCGAACGACAGTAAACGAGACCATTCATTGCTTGAAATGAGGTAGCACGTGAGCTAATGCTTGCACAGTACACCTTGGATAATTAGAGCATGCTTAGACCAACTCAGGGGAGGGCTGAAAATGACTCCTTTACCCACGAGAAGCCGTCATTTATTGCTCAAAGACGTTGTATCTGATTGAGCCAAGATGAGACTGGATGCTCTAGATTGTAATCGTCCAGGCTGAGCACAACAGTGGAGAATCGACATTGAACCTGACGTTCTCGATGCGTTGGTTTATGCAAGATAAACCGTAGCTGAAAGATTGGCTCACAAATTCAAAAGCAGAGTAAGACTTAAGTGATCTCTAAGCTAGAAAAGACCTGGCCGTTTTCTATTCCCATTGTAGCATTGCATGAAGGACTGCATGTTTTTATCCATATGCACAATGCGTGGCATAGACAGTTGCTTGGTATTCATACAAATTGGGAAAGGGATGAACCAAGAGCCCATAGAAATGGGATCAATAGATGGTCGCCGATCCACAAGCGGCCAAACAACCATAAAGCTACTGACCCACATACGGGACAAAACAAGAACCCGTGTGATGCTCGCGAGAAAAGTGCAGAATCTGCTTCACAGAGAAACCAATCAGCCAGGCCACTAATGTCTGGTCTGTGTGCATGTGCGGGAACTGGCGCGCTTGGTTCGAAGCATATACAGGACTGTACACACGTTCGCGTGAGAGACGCATGTGCCACAAGAGCGCGAACCACTCCGATGAAGTACAAACATATGCGCACGCGGAGGAGCAGGCGAGTGCAAGCGCACATGTCTGAGAGACTTGTTCTATTTGCATACACACAGGCACATCGACATCGTCGAATGTTCGAACTGGTGCCAGAACGAAAATGAATGAACGAGGGAAAACGTCAAGATGACGCAATCGGTGCATGAAATCAAGTTGTCGCGACTCAAAAAGCAACTAGGTCTAACGTATGCACGCACACAGATATAAGTGGCATCCATAAAGAACGACCTGATGGTAAAGCGATTGAAGTGAACGAATTGGTGAGAAAAAGTCGGCTGGTCTCCTCAAGATACTGGTGACAGTGGCGACAGTTCATCATGTGTCAAACGGAGACGAAGTATCCCTATGAGAAGCCAGTTGATAGACATGGTCGAGCGCTTAACTGTTGACGGCAAACAGTAGTAGAAAACAGAGCAATACAAATCCATCGCCAAATTCCCATCATCTGGAATGTTACAGGCACCGTAATAGGGCTACAGGGCAACAAAATACAAAGGAGGGAACACCACGGCTTTGAGATACTCTGGTATCATTATTATCTGGTGATGTGCCTTCTCGTCACTAAGGCCGACTGAATAGTCGGGTAATACGATTACGGAATTGCGTGATGAACAGAACTTAAGTAAGACTAAAAAAACACCAGGCTCTGGAACGAGAATGGTAAGATCTCACAATGTACAGGAATGACTTTGACACACTAAATCATGGACGAATATACTCACCTCCAAGACAGGAAAATAACTCGGTGGACAGTAGCCCTCGACTAGGCTGTGCAGTGCATCTGACGAATAGGGTAGATTGATTACACGTTCGACTTCCTCTGTACCAGAAGACTGTGCTAAAGTCAGTTGACATATAGGATCCTCTGGAGGTTTGGGGTTTTTCTTATCATCAGCTAACGATGCAAGTTCATCCTCATTTGGATCACGCAACCCATGTAGTCCGTCTGCAGAACAGTTGGATTGCAATTCCAAGCTGTCCATGTTAATCGATTGGTCCAAACCTTCCGAATTTACATCAAGATGATCCGAACTATCATTTGTCCGTGACTGACCCAATGGAGAATTTACTGCCAGCGGCTTCGCTGACGGTAGAGATAAGGATGATGAAGTTCGACCAGAAGGTGGCGCTCCCACCGGTGGTAATTTTGTCAATTTGATGGGCCTATCCATGGCTAGTCGTAGGAGCATATCGTCCGGGTAGATCTGGAAATCGTACTCACGTGCAATCCGTGAGGCCTGACAGCAAATTGTAATGAACTCGTGCGGAATCCGAGCATGTACACCCATAACGTGACGGCGACTGTCGGCGAGCGTGGCTGCACGAATTTTGAGATCTGGTGCTCTGGTGGTAATAAATAACCGACCGCATGGACAACGAAAAGCCAAAGTGCGATCGCCCTTGCAAATTCGAGTCATCTGATAGGTAGAATAGATGTGCATTTTTGCCAACATGTCATCCAGGTGGGCTTTCGTTGCCCCAGCAGCATCCATAAGTTGACGGAGAACGGGCTCGGAAAACGGTAGGGATAGATCGACAATGCTGTCAGCGCCTTCAAGCCCAGGGATGGAAGAGAGAGCGTTGAGGTCCAGATTGTCAACCGTGGCTGTGGACGAATGAAACTCACTAAACGATTCCGGGGACTCAGGCGAGTGGGGAGGAGAGGAGTGAGAATACATATCACCATTGGCAGGGCTGGCAACACTCGAGGGTACAGAGAATGTGAGGTCGTCTGGAGGAATGGGCGGACGAATGCGAACCGTTACGCGATTTTTGGAGCCTGGGACAACTGCCGTAAAGTGAGACACGTAAGCATCCTGCGATTTGGAGTCCGAGTTGGCACGTGATGGACTGGAATCTAAAGAGTCACACTCTGTGATACCATTTTGGCTGGCACTGTCATTTGGCGACGGTGACCGATCTCCTACAGATTGGAAGGCTTCCGATCCATGTCTGCGATGCATGAAATCGCGTGCGAGACGTGCCAACTTGTCGTCCGAAAAGAGCGTATACTCAACAGGATCAAGTCGTGAGGCTTGGAGACAATGGCGGAAATGCTTCGTGGATATGCCACAGTGTGATCCAAGAATATGTTTCCGAACATCAGCCAGAGCATGTGGTGAAGAATAGGAGCAGTGGTTGCATCGGTAACGTCGAAAACCACCGCGTGTGTCCACAATGACTGACAAGCGACTGTATACTTGCATTTTCTGTTCCAAAAATTCTCGTGTTGCGATTGGCAGATGGCGAGTCAGTCTTCGAAGAATGACGATGGAATAAGGCAACGGTACCCGTCTGCGACCAGCCTCCAAAAGACGTGGTTTCATAAGCCGCATGGCTAATTGCTCTTGCATCTCCTGGAACTTTTCCTCGCTCTTCGGCAGGTAGGTAAAGCGTAAGCAATCCTTCAAATATTCTCTAGGAACTTCCAAATGGACAGTCAATAGATGGCGTTTGAAATCTCCCAGTCCATAAGGGAATACCTTTTCACACTCAGGACAAACGGGGATACGACGGTGGTTTTCCTTACCCAAAATTCGCACAAAATACGACGCGAATTGGTGCATTTTTGCTACCAAAGAGTCCAAGATGTTTGGTCTGATACGACCTGTAAGCTCTTTTCGAAACTTTGTCTCATCAAAAGGAAAGGAAACCAAGTCATCAGCAGCTCGGGCCCCATCGGAAGACTTGACTCCACAGCCCAATGAATCAATGACTCCCTCTGCCGTCGAGTCCATACATTGTCTGTGTGCTTCCAGTCCAGAGTTTTCGAGCAGCTCGAGGGGCTTGTCCTTCTGAGCCATAGCAAGTGGATGAGTACCAAGTTCAACACTGGTGATGCCGGGAGATTTGGAAGTGACATTCGTTAGACCAGGTATCGAGGATGGTGGTGCTCTGTTGGGCAGTGCCTGGGCTGATGAAAGAGGGTTAGTAACATCAAAACCAGTAAGACCCGTGAGAGCTGCAGCAGCCATTGCGGCCACAGCTGATGCCGCATCGGATGCTGACATATTAGTACCATCAGGACATCCGGTTGCAGTGATTTCTTGCAGCTTCTTCAACGCAGCCGCACTCTGGAGTAGCGATAATGAAGGGTCACGAGTGTTGCAGCCTCCAGCAGGATTCCAAGACACTGAGGTTGAAGAGGCTTGGCAGGAAGTATTCGCCTGAAGGCTAGGACGCGCAGAAATTGAGGAAACACATTGCTGGTTACGGCCAGCATAGCCAAATTTCGAAGCTGAGGGTCGGGCAAGAGCAGCTAGGTTCATTGGTGATTCCGATTCATCCTCGTCTTCAGGTGAGGACGGCCGAACAGGATTCCCGTATAAAGAACCGAACATAGTCGCATTAGATCCCAGATTGTTTGTCCCTAGTGCACCAGGCATCGCCGACGAGTTGATTGTACTTTGACTGAGTGATGGATCAGGGAGTACAGACAATAGATTAGAGTCCAACAGCCGGATATGCAGCTTCTCATGTACGACGACAGCCTGTTGGGGAGAAGGAAGGAAAGCGATGAGTGAGGTGTCACTTGCCGTCAGTAAGCAATACTCGACACGTTCGCCAAAAATTAACAAAAGTAGGAAGTTCGGAATAACAAAAACGAGACCATTTGCCTACCATCTACATCTAAATATTCAGCTAATTGCAAAGACCAGTTATAAACACATCAGCCTTCACGAATATTGTCAGCATAGCCCGCAAATCCTGTCTGGAACTGAAAGCCAGTGGTCTTCAGTTTTCGTCAACGACCTTCACCTCTAGTAGATTTTGGAAGCTAGGACGTACGTGACAATGTGCATTTTGAGGTGATCCTGAAGTTACATGAACATTTGAATTGAAATCAGAAATAGGGACCCGTTGAGAGACTGATCTGAGTGGGCGTGGCTAAAATAAGCAGGAAAGCTTCCAAACGCTTTCTGTGCCTGGTGAGAGCACTTAATGTTGGGAAGTGTAAGATGTGTACAGCTAACCAACCTAGAAAATGTCAAATAGCAGCGGCAACTTGCAACTGACCAGACTGTTCCGTATGAGCATTTTGTCCGTATGCGCTCTTTAACACAGACCGCAAGCATATCACCAGGACGCCACTTGTCCCAGACCCATTTCTCTGTGCGAGATTCTAAACTATATAGTGTAAAGAGAACTACGGTACGTGAAATAAGCAACACAGCTATCGGAGTTGATCAACTTTAGTTTGCTTTCATGGAGAGATGCCATGGCTTGATTTGACAGACATCGTCCCCTTCAACAGCAAGGAATCCGACAACGTTCCAATAGTTGAAAACGTCTAAGCTCTTTGGTTTGCTATGGCCAGATTCCACAGTCATACAACAAGAGTGCTTGCGTAGACGGTTAGCAATATAAATCCCATCTTTATAAGGGATACCACTAACACGGTTGCTGAAAACTCTTCGACAATCCATGACCGTTTTCGCCATTCTTGGGGCTCATTAGGTAAGCCCAGTCTCCGAGTTTCCGTCAACCTTATGTCATACTTGAACCCAAGTTGGACAGATTTCGACAAATACAATTTGGTTTTCAGGGGAGACTCAAATGAATCTCTCGTTTGTAATATTCTTCAACTGCATGCCCTGCACAAAGGCCACCTGTTATTTCGTCTTCCTAATACGCACAGGAAGTATGAAATGATGTAACACTCAAACTTCCTCAGACTCTCAAAAATTGTGAAATTCTTCAAACTTTTGCAGACGATAGGGCCAACAGCAAATACTGACTAACATGCATTTACAGTTACATATTTCTTAGCGAGATGGAAAACATATTTAATTTTGTGTGGATTCTAAAGTGTCTCGTATTGTCAAGAGAAAACAAAATTACAGTGATTCTTCATCCTCAACAAGAAATCGTCACACGAGAGGACGCTTAACAAAGAATCAACTTGCGTAGATGGTGCTTACGATAACCCAAGCCGCCCGAACGCTACCACTGTCGTTTGGGCAGATTCTAAAAGCCTCATCATTTCACCAATCGGAAGAACGGTACGATTCAAAAGCCTCTGATAAGTTTCAATCAGTACCGAACGCGGAGTAGAAAGTACATGCATATCTGACTATTTCACCGGTTGTCCCTTTCACAATACCGAAGGATGGTGAGTTCCACTCAGAACTGTTGATAACATATACAGTTCTTTGAAGGCTCTTACTGGAATACTAATGAACGTCAAGTTCATGTTCGGAAGTCAGTATTGGCTGAATACCTGTGGCATCGATCTTGTCCCGTTTCAGTGACCTACGTTCACCCACATCATTATCAACAGCATGACATCAATGTTCGACACTGATGCATCGCTGCCGTACAACCATGATTCACCTGAAAGTCTTTATGAAGAAAAGAATGAAGGTGGGTGGGGAAGTGACTTAGTGTTAGCTTACTACAATCATTCCGAAGTGCCTATACCTCCAAACTCATTCAGGCAATCTGGATAGAAACTGACGAGGACGGCAGTGACATCGATTAGCAGCGTCTTCAACCAGGAGCAGTGGGGATCATTCAGTCCCCTCACATCATTCGATCCTGAAAGGCGAGTCGCATCGACAGCACCCAGACTCTTTTAAATATCTTTCATACCCCTCTTCTAGATCAAAAGTTGGCCACCTCTGCATCACCCAGATAGGCTGCATTAGCTGAGTAACTGATCGCAATCTGTGTAACGTACTAGCCTGTGTACCTTGTACAGGTCTGCCCAGTTAGCTTGCAGATGATTGTTACAGGCCTGAACAACTAAAAGTAAAGATCTCGAATCTTACCACTCGGCAGTAACCAGTGGTATTCAAAATTTCGGTATGGTGAGCATTCTACGTGAAAGAAAATCGCCATGCTGGAATCACATCCCCTAAAAACTAATATGGATCTGGCAACGTTTGTTCTTTTCGAACCACTGCTGACTTCTGCGCCGTCGTACATCTGACTCGGTTGTCCATTGGTAAGCTAGGTTTTCCAATTTCTAACGCCTATCGATTGGTCAAAATTTCCAGGGCAATGACTTTTTGTCGCTATTATCTCGATGCTAGTGATATACCTTCACTGCGGGGTGGAAGCACCGGTAACATCATCATGAGTAGATCGTACCACTTGTTAGTTAAACCGATTTACTATCAAAACACTTTTTCCCCAGATTTCAACATGCTCAGCAGCATGTTCACCAAAAAATTGTCATTTACAAATAACTATGACAAAGGAGTGCACTAGAATCTCTAATTAGTGTGTTAGTGTAGTGGTTGTCTTGAGGCCCCCATGCGGTTAGACGAAGGCTGTCAGTTCGACTGGGTTTGCTGGTACTGGCTTTCATGTTTCGCTGGTGGATCACGAAGTGACTAACACGAGGTCGTTTGCAAAGCAGACTATTCTCTGGCATCCGAAACACATGACTAAGCCGACAAAACCCATGGTGTATCATCTGCTTATCAGTTGAACATGAGTTCTTTCTCCGAGAAGCCATTCGACGGAACTTAACATCACTAATCCGGTGCTTCAACCAGAGGTGGGCAACAGTTTATGGAACGTTGGCGGCTCCTCTGCCTTTTGCCTACAAGGACCAAATTTATCAATCGCACCGAGGCATGGAATGGATTGCGTCGTTGCTCCGTACAGCGAAGATGAATTCACACTGACAAAGATAAAAAAGCAGCTTCAACCTTCCCCATTAAGACTAACACCACTGTCCAGGCATATGAACCGCTTCCTCAACTAGTCTCAACCGTCCGTGCAACAGCGCATGGCAGATGTAAGGCGCATAGCAAACCGTGCAGTAGAATTACTTGGGCCACTTACAGTTGGTTGCATTTGTATAGGTACTGATCTAAGCTATACCGTTTTCGAAGTCAATTTTTATAAGTGAACGAATAGAGGGTGTTCCGTTGTACACTTTTATTTAAAATCATGATGTGTGGAAAATCGAATAAGTCTCCTGTATGCGTCCGTTTGAAATTGTGAGGTTTTCCATTATTGGTAACATTTTAAAAATCACTTTGATCCCACTTCATTATGGGGCTTTTCCGTTATGGTATTTAGTTGTTCTGGCTCCATTTCACCGATAAATCTACCCAAAATTAAATAAACTGTTCGTTCCATTGACGTAAAACACCACTCATAAGGTTACTGAGAACCCTCCTTCAAAGAACATCATAAACGAGAAATTCAGCTGGGACGCATGTGAGTCACCGGTAAAAACCAAATGGACACGCAAAAAAGCGTATTTGACGGAAACCCTACGGTCCGCAATTATCGCGTGATAGACGACGTCAGCTGTAAAATCGTGTTCCTTTAGCACGAACTTCAAGAAATGCGGTAGAGACAAAAATGCTGTAGCGAAGAGGAGTCTGGTTTACAGGGGAAAAACAAATGGTCAAAGTTAACTAGGCTTTCCAGTAACAAAGGGAACTGAAATTAAAGTGCGAATTAAGAGCTACTGTACTTGTATCGTGTCTTCACCACGGAATCATATACATTCTTGCCCCCTAGTAAAGATTTAAAATATAACCGACAAACAGGAACAGTCAGAGGGAAGAATACAATGTATTTTCATCTTCACCACTTTAAAAATAATGGGATATTGAGTTCCTGAGGTCCATGGTTGAACAAGAGCTTCCATTCAATGGCACCATTAGCAATTTTTTTATTCCCACCAGCAGTAAACCACCATGCGCTCTGTAGGACGTCCGATGACACCACCAGCTGGCTTTCCGCCAAGCTACTGCGAAGTCGGACTAACCACAGCTAGCGCTGGTCGGTCAGTTGTTTGTCCTGAAAGCAAATACATTGACCGCGTCAAGCCTACCACCAATCGATAGTACACTGTTCGATATCACACCGAGTGTTTGAAGACGAAGCGCTTGCAGTCAAGTTGCTTTGTGCGTGTGTATGCAGCCAGTCGTGCTTAGTTGCTTGCTTGTATGCATGCACGCGTAATCTAGCGCAATGGCCCACGATCCAACAGCAACCGTGGCCACAACAACAACAACGGCCACAATACGCGTGCCCGCCAAGGCATAACACTTCGTTCAAGCGTCCTCAAGCCAGACAACCGATTTCTGCATTGTGGTAAGCTCCCACACCGACCGCTTCGGTTTGCCCACCCAACAGCTGTACAACAACATTCATGTCACTCTACGTGTCCTCACAAGGCAACGCAGCCATACCAACACAACCATAGACACATACAGCATCCAACACACAATCTGGGACCTGAAGCGATTGACCATGGAGTCCAACAGCCCGGTAGCGCGCGGACAACGCTAAGCCGCGTCCGTTCGTCCGCCCATCATTTTGCTGGCTGGCTCTACCATCCACCAAGTTCTGTCCCTTTCGTGTGTACCCACTCCATTCAGACATACAATGTACATACACGCGCACACGCGTGTGCCTCGCACCACACATACCAGGACAACGCGGAGGAACCTGCAGTCGCGCAGGTCAATGATACGGTGGTCGTCACCATCTCACTGCCTGCCTTTCTCTCCTGTCCCATCCATCTCTGCATTCCCACTCAACCAGAAGAGACCACGCCAGCTATCTTCTTTGTGTGTTCCAGGCAGGCCTGAGACCTTTCCATCGGGCGTGATATAGTATGCAAGCGGGCGTGGAACAAATGGTGATTTGTGGCCCGAACAAAGACTACGGTTAGTTCCACCACTAAATGAACTGGAGTAGCAAACATGGGTGGCAAATGCGCATCTGGGCGTGCCAGTTAGGTGATGAATGGCATAGACGACGCTAAGAGTAAGCCAGTACGAAAATCATCGCCGGAGATACGCACGCTCAGTTGTCAGGTACGGACCTATGGCCAATGAGTGCGACTAAGGGGCTGGTAGATTCAAACAGCGTTCTGGAGAGAAACAACAAGTTGAGCCGAAGTGACGCAACTGGAACTGTTTCGCAAGCTTATATGCATAATTCTTTAGAAAAAATCCTCAAGAATCGTGCAATTCGTGGAACACACGTTTAAGTCATCTGCTTAGGAAACCTGTCACAAGAAGTTCTGACTGCTTAGATAATAAGAGCCCGGGTAAAACCACCTGTCTTCTTGAGGATGGAGTTCTCACAAAGGACAACAGAATCCATCCCGTGATCCTACTGAGATCGAAGTGAGATAGGATAGTTGTGCATAATCAACGGTTGAAGTAACTCACTTTCCCTTCATGAGAAAAGGTCGCATGCTCGGTTACCAGATGCTTCTCGGTGGACACAGCTTGACATTCAGAACACCAGTAGACGCGACATCTGTAAGCGGTAGACGAGGTCTGATGTTTGCTAGCTTTGACCGACCGTAAAGCAGTTGGACAAGTTGAGGCATGCATTTGGAAGTAATTCCAACGCACCGTGCTCATGTTGCAATAGGGGCACCGGAGAAGAAAGACGAAGGTTGGTTCCAGCTCATGTTTAGCCGATGAAGGGCACTTGCTCAAAAAGGCAAGATTTATGTGTTCATCTACCGATTCGGTGTCACTGCTGTCCAACTTTGTGGGGGTCACTTCTTGTTTGTTGCAGACCACCTGTAAAAACAAAATCAGAAGGTAATGAAAAGTAAAAATCAATGGATAGAATAGAGGCTACATTGAGTTTGGCTACCGGTTTACAGATTATCTATTCAATCCACTCCGACCCGATTCACTGACGTGTGTAGCTTGAGAGCACAGTACTGAATGGTTTACGCACTATTTCATTCTCTGTAAACAAGTTCGGCACGTACGATTTTTTTCCTGGGCAGAGCGGAAAACAGCAAGCGGTAAGTTTCCCATGAACTCGTAAGAATAGCTTCATCACCCAGACGAAGCCACTGTGGCTGAATGTATCGACCAGGACTTGCTGCACCTGCGTCTTCTAGTTGATAACGGTATGGTATGCAGTAAGCGGTAAGTTTCCCATGAACTCGTACGAATAGCTTGATCACCCAGACGAAGCCAATGTGGCTGAATGTATCGACCAGGACCTGCACCTGCACTTGCATCTTCTAGTTGATAACGGTATGGTATGCAGAAGACGGGAGGCAGTAGGAAGTGAGCGTAAATCCGTACAACATATCAAAACCAAAACAGGCGGAAAAGTTGGAAACATAGTGTGAACATCCTTCGTCGTTCTCTGACCCGTCATTGTCGCTAATTGATATGAAGAACGAACAGTGAAGTTGAGAGCAACGAACTCTGGTGAGAAGCACTTGAGACTAGCACTTTTTAAATTCCGGCATTTTGACGCCCTTTCGTTGGGCAACTACCAAGGCAAACTAAGATAAACCCATTAATGGGACCCAGGCGCACGTGCGTAGAGTTTTGGGACAGCAAAATCAAGCGCAAACAACTCTTGTCCTTATCGTCAGTCATTCGATTCAGTCATTGACCATTTGGTTTCTAGTTCCACTGGGTGACGTCTGCTCAGCATGTCGGAATCAACACCAAAGACACTTTCTTCCATAAGTCTACATTGCACGAATGTCCCATAGATCGTTGTTCATCCGTCTATCGTGCAGCCTTACCAGTTACAACCCCTATAAAGCATGTGCCGTACTCTGTTAAAAGTTCGTAAGAACCTTTGTGCAGCATCGGTTCAAGATGACCCGGACGAACTGTTAGAAACGGCGTTGCTGGGTTGAGTGATGCCTTGTACATGCTACCCTTTGGTTAGGGACTGTTTCTCAATTCGTATGGTCAGGCGTGGCATCTCTCTATGTCAACACTCCACACAGGGAATTCAGTGGTCCCGACTGAGTGTCATGCGATATTTTCCCTCACACGTATTGAATTCAGGCGAGTCTCGAAGTTTAGTGAAAGCGATGGACATCCGAATGCATACATAGGAAGAGAGAAGGCAAGTAACATAGGCTGATCTAATAAAAACTGATCGAAAAATGTTAAATTTCCCGCACTGCGCACTGTAGAGTGACCCAAAGAAAAATCCATTGTGCAGAAACCCTATGTTATGGAAGGGGAATACTAGCTGATATCTAGGACTTGCTGGTGTCTGGATATTTGCAGCAAAATTGTATCAGAATCGTGTAAGAAGGCTCGATTTTTGATGGGCACACTCGAAATGGGTTAGTCCATGGCACAACGGGTTGGCATATATATA